GTAAGTAACACCCTGAAGCGCACCCGGAGATCAACAGGTAGCCAGTGTAGCTCGCGGAGGATCGGTGTTATGTGGGCGAACCGCGGTGCGACCACTATCACTCGCGCGGCCGCAGTCTGGGCTAACTGCAGTCGCCGGTTGCACTTCAGGGGCAGCCCCATGTAGAGCACATTGCAGTATTCCAGCCTAGAGATCACAAGGGCTCGAGTGACTGTTGCGGGATAGTATTTCAGAACAGGATTAAAATAAAAAAATCATTATGTTAGAATGGGAAATTAGTATTGCTCTTTTCTATATCCAGCTACCTGATCAGCCAATCAAAAAAGCCACAAATTTTGTAATCTAAAAATTCAGTGATTATCTTTATTCTTATTTATTAATTCAAATATTAAAAGTAAAAATGAGAATATGTTGTTTAGATGAGCTACATGGTAATCTTCAATCTATTGTTATCCACTCTCTCGTATTTATTTCTTAACCCCATACTAATTTTTACCTAGAAATTATGGAAGTTGAAATTCAAAACATCCAGAATGCATTGGTTGAGAAATACTATAAGATGTATCTTTTAGTGTTCTTTCTCTGGCCAGAGTTTATTTTTCTTCTAACTTTGTAAATGAATGATACAATTAGGTGCAACTTCAGGGTACAGTACTAGTTAAACATTTTATTGCTTACTCACTTTAATGAACTTGTTTTCAAAGATGCAGGTGAAAATGATGTATTTTGTCTACGAGCTCTACTTAATGAGTTGGAAATCTTTAGAAATACTTGATTCTTTTCCAAGATAAAGAGGGTTCCATCATAATCCTTGAAGGGAATTGGACTAATGTATTCCTTTTCTTATCTTTTATAATGAGTCAGATTGTTTTGTGCAATGTTCTTGTTTAACGATGGGATAGGAGATACTTTAAGGATATTGACTCTGTTTACATGCTTATATACCATGGAATTGATTGATTATAGTCCATTAAGTTGTTGTTGACTCTTGAAGACCATGTAATTTGATTTCCTCCATTACCATCTGTCCTTAACCTGATTCCCCCCCCTCCCCAGGTCTTCTCATACATGTAAAATTCTAGAATACTTCAAAGGATTATTTTGCTTTGAAATGTGACTTTTTAGCATGAGCTATTTCCTGAAATTCTGCATGAATGCTCAGGGAAGTTTATTGCTCCAAACCTGGACAATATTGCTGCTTCAAAAATGTACTAATTTATCAAACAAATGTACATGGCCCTTTATCTAACTGATAGATCTCCAGGCATGACACTGAATTGCAGTCTCATTTGAGAATTTCAAAACAGTAAGATTGTAAAACATCCTATTGATTGGCATGTGTTTTATATTTTTATCTGCACAATAGCAATATCAGTGATGGCGAACGTTTTTCTACTTGGGTGCCAAAAGGGCCCGTGCGCATGCATGTGTGCATGCATGCCCACACCCGTAATGCAATGCCCTCCCCCAGCGCATCCACAGGCTCCAGATGTTTTCCTCCCACCGCCCTCTGGAAGGCTGAAAATCAGCTGGCCAGCATGTGCATGTGTTCTGGAGCTCACATAGGGCAATGCCTCGCATGCCCTCAGATATGGCTCCGCCTACCACCTGTGGCACGCATGCCATAGGTTCCCCATCACGGAGCTATATGATTGCATTTCATAATTAAACTTCCAGAATCTTAGCTGCTATATAGGATCCAATCTGAGTCACTCACCAGACCAAAGATTTATTCTTCCAAGTTTTTAGACTCATGATGGAGCCCAACCTCAGGAAATTTCTCTCTCCAGAATGTATACAATGGGCTGTTCTACACATTGTATGGTGCCTGGTTGTATGTGGCTTTTTAGCTGTTATGTTTATTATTTCAAAATATTTGTTCAAAATATTGTAAGGAACTACAAAATAGATTCTTTGGCCTATTTTGGATATGATATGACCTACTGAAAGAAGATTGTTCCTTCAAAAAGAACTTTTGCTTCAATAAGGAGTGGGCAGAGCCTCTTTCAGTTGTTGGGCAAGATGGCTAATTGCTCTGGAGTCACTCACCCAGGAAGCCTCAGCTAAAATATTAAATATTGGCAGACATTTCATCACTGTAATTCCATCCTTTAACACTGTATATCTGTATTTGAGAAAACCATATTTCTGCACATCATGTGGTTGTTATGGGACAAAAATGAACGCTGGGGGGGAAAAATTGGAAGATGCATTTTGAAAAGAGTTTTATTTTACACTGTAAAATTGTTAATTGGTTATGTTGTTCTTGATAACGGTCCTAAATTTTTATTTTCATCCGGTTGATTTTAAAAGTGCCATTAGATCATCCTTTCATCATTTGCACAAAAGCAAACTGTGTTACACTAATGCATTTTTAATTTTTTCTTTATTCCTTTAAGCTTGCAACTTTATGGCATGATAATTTTAGCTCTGCTAATTGTTATGTTTGTGCTTTAAAAATATTAAGTCAGTGGGAGCTTGCTCCAGACTGCTAGTTCCCTATTGATATTAGCTACTCAAAAGCAGCAATCTATTCCCATCCTCCAGTGATGGGCTAATCATAGAAAAAGAATGGGCAGGGGTCTCGCCTTGGGAAGAAATAAGGGTCACATGCAGCCTGTGGTTTTTTCACCCGAGTCTTAAAATGGTGCGATCCATGATGTCAATTGGTCTTTCAAATGGTTAGATTTCCTTGAAGCAAGTTTTGCTGCAATAGATCTATGTATTTGTATTGTTTTTACTATGTTTTACTAAGCAAGAAAGAAAACAAAAGGAAAGACAAAGGAGGGAGAAAATAGTGCACAAAAGTATACTATATAATACTTCAGATATATTAACGTTTTTATGTTTTTCTGTAATAGAAAACAAGAAATTAAGTCCAAAAATGCTCTAAATAGAAGCCCTAGTGGCAAAATGCTTGTTGAAATATAAAAAAGAGTTTGTCAGATCACTGGATTAATAATTGAGAATTTGTTACATTTCAACTTTGTAGTGAAGACAGTTTTGTAGTAATAAATTATCTATTTATGCAATCCTGCTAGTTCCTAATCTATTGATACACAGTTCAGAATTATAAAATTAGTCTTAGAAATCAGTGAGTTTTGCAGAACAAAATTAATGTGTGACTTAATTGCTTCCAGAAGATATCACTGCACTTATAAATGTCTTTCTGAAAAGCTGTGCCCAATAAATCCAAAATAATGCAAATAATTTAAAATGCATAGAAGTATAACATACAGATCTGAAGCAGACATTTCATTTCCATGCATCTTTGTACCAATTTAAAATGTTTTAATTGCCTCTAAAAATGAAAATGTTACAGCTTTATTTTTTTGCTGAAGAACACGTTAAGCCTTTTAGGGTAGAGCAGGATCTGAAGATTTCTGGCCAAAATCTATATGTCAACAGGTGTTTCAAATAAAGCTATTGCCACTTCATAATTTTTGGCAAATGATTCTTGGTTGCAATATATTGATAACAGATTTCAAAATTCTTGATGCTCCTTGGAATTCTTAGAACAGCAAGAGTAATAAAAAAAGCTTATTTACAAAGAAGTAATTTTGAATGTTTGGGCTAAGTGTTGTCAAACTCGCTCTATCACGTTGCCGTCATGCAATGTTTTGTGATGTTTCCCCCATTCGTGGAGCTGGGGTGGGCGTGGTCTGCAGATAACGCATCTGGCTGCGGGCTCCAGTTTGACACCCCTGAGTTAAGTCAACCCTCCCATCTATCCCAAGATGGTTTAAATTAAGTTTACAACATATAAGTTTTTCTGGTTTCATTGTAAATATGGCACTGATTTGTCTTCTATGTGCACATATGGTTACATATAATTTAAGAATTATAGATATATGCAGAATAATTAAAATACCAGGAAGTGCAGAGCATCACCTGTCTCCATGAAAAGAGTTTTCTTCTTTGCACTTTTCTTACTTTGACATGTATTTTAAATAGCTACTTTCTCATTCCAGTCCTGATGTAGCTCTTCCAGAAGAACAGCCACATTCCAGCTCTCAATATACCCCTCCTGTCAGCTGTCTACTTAAGCCTCCTCCTTAACATCGTGCTTCATATGCAACCTAAGATTTTTGGGGGAAATCTCACCACATGGACTGAACTGGAGTTCTTACAGCAAAGAAACAGTTTGTATCAAGCATGACTGCCTTGTTGCTGCTGCTGAGTCCAGACACCATCTAGAGTCTTAACAAAGGAAGGCATGTGGAAACGCTTTAAAGCACAGTGCCCAGACTGCTGAAAAATCTTCAAGGTTCCTTTGTGTGCATCATCTGATCAAAACTACCCAAAGGAAGTCAGACTTGTTCCTTCCAATTGTTTGGCTAGGACTACTAATGTGCCGGGAACCTAGACTCCTACCGAATAAAAGCAAAGAAAGTATGCTACCAGTCTTATTTTGCCCATTCAGCTCAAGCTACTAACTCCATATGGCATTTTATATATATATTTTTTCCCCTGACATATTTGCACCAAAAAGTATGGTTATTAGAAATGATGTGTGGATGAGTTGTTCCACTTTTTAAAAAAATAATTTACATTGAGATTTGTTTTGTTTTTTTGTTCAGTTAGGATTTGTTTTTATTTTTATTTTAAAATGTATACATATTTTATTTGGAGATAGCTCGCCTTGGGCAAAATGCAGCCTGGTGTTTTGTTTGTTTTATTGCACAACATTGTAGAAGATACATTGAAATGAATGTGTAGGGGGGGGGGAATTGCAGAGGAAGTTGGGTGTGCCAAAACTGCATCAAAATAAATAGGCACACAATGAAGCACTTACATTGCATTGATTTCAAGATAATTCTGGCATGCCTCATTTTCTCTGAACTGTGTCTTTTGACTGGTACTACAGAAGTCTGCTGCACTGGTATTGTTTACACAGTTGTTTTATACAATACTGTATTAGCTGCTGGTTCCTTTATACCTTCAACCTGATTAAGCCTGAAAAAGGGTTTTCTTGAATAATATATGCATAATTGTTTCCTTGTGCTTATTTTTGTGTTTCAAGGTATCATTTTGTTTTAAGGATCTTTTCCTTTTTTTTCTGGGCAAACTAATGACTCGGTGCTTTTTTCAGTTTTACTGTTTGGTATCCAGACAAAAAAAAAATTCAAATGAACTTGAAGTAAACATAATGTATTTTATGATAATTGAAAAAAAATGCAGGATACCTTTCACTTTACTCCCAAATCCAGTATTATCAGACTAGGGCCTTCCTTTGATAAAACCAAGTGGTGGTGGGGTAACAGATGATCAAAATTGGCGCATTTGGTGGGGAATATTAAGCAAAGGAAGTGGGATTGGTATCTTGGATTGAAGAACATAGGTTTAGATTCTTGCTTTAAGCGATTGTCTGAACTGTCAGCAGTTTTTATTCTAGCCCATTCCATAACAAATAACTCAGGTCAGGGTGCACAGGTTGTTCCTGCATTGCTTGGCATTCTTCGTTCAAGAATTTTCCCATTAAATTTGAGAAATGCTGGGTATGAAAGAAAATGAAGGATAATTACATTATTTTGCACAATGCTCAGAAGCAAGATGGCTTACTTGCAAGATTTCAAGTTATTATTTTGGGCTTTCTGCTGGCTCTCTGTGTTATATTGCTAACCAATTTCTCCTGTTAGTGGAATTCTTATTCTGAGTCAGATAGCCTTAATACATTATAATAAGGAAGAGCTGAGTAGATCCAGGTCCCTTGGTTCCATCTCTGCAGTGATTATATGAATTACAAGACAGAAATAAGTAAAGTGTCTGGGGAAATTATCCATTCTGAAAGATATCAGATCAGCTGGAATAACTTGACATCAAACCCCCCCCCCCAATATGAAAGAAAATGCTCCTACTTAGAATAAATACCAAAAAAAGAGGAAAGAAGGAAGGGGGGAATCCTCAGCCAAGGAAATCATGAAGTTTAAGTGGTCATCTTTGTGCCTAATAATAAATATCATTGAAAAACAAGGTGCTAAAAACAGGACAAGCCTAATCAGCAATTGGTGTAATGTGGAGCAGTTGACGTTTTTCCAAGAGACAGTGGTTTAAGTTACCAATGAAATCCACAAACTTGAAAGCAGACACCAGTGTCCTAGTGACAATTAGTATGGTAGGGAATTGACTAGATGGAAATACATTGAGTTTAAATGACCTCTATGTGACAGTCCAAATCATATATAGCACTGTTGCTGGAACGTTGGAGCTAATGGCTCTCGTTTAATGTGTTTCCACGTTGCTTATCTTGTGCTATACTGAACATTTCAATGCTTCACTTCATATTCATATCTAGCAAGGGAATATTTCAGCAGCTCCTAGGATTACTGTTGCCAACTTTACATTGGGTTACATTGACCGTTAGCCATCACGCAAATGTTTCTGGTTGAATTGAGTGTTCCTCAAGAATTCCAGGAACTTCAACCATTCATCTCACTTTAACAATTATCCTAAACTCAGCAATGTTGTTTTTGAACTGGTGGGATCTCCATCCAGGAGCAGAACTTGCAGCTAATATTGGTGTACAATGAAGAGAGTCCTAGGGAGAGTTTCACAGTGGTTTTGCTTGTGGATAATGCAAATTAATGTATGCATATTGTTTTGCAAGAGAGAAGCACATGATTTCTTAGCCAGTGAAATCAAAAGGCCTTAAAAGTGCTTAGAAATGATTGGATCATACCTTCACTTTGATTTGTATTCTACTGACAAATGGTTTCAACTGACCTAATGTATACCTCAGAATATCTGTTAGATCAAACTGTCTGTGTAACTGCGCTGAGACTATATAGGTTTTACAACATATGCTATGCTACAGTGGCAAATCTCATTCTTGCCATTTTTGGTACTAATTTTGCAAAAAAAACAATAATTAAGTAATTTCAGGCTGTAGTCCTATGAATGCTGACTTCGGGAAAAGTTGTGCTGAAAAGTTAAAAAAAAAAAAGGAATTGCTTGGACATAAATTTCACTTACCGCTGTACAGATTGTGGACTCATACCTGAGTAACTGTGCTAAAATTTCAGGTTCTTTTTTAAAATATAGGTTATACTTCATAGCTGGAAACAACAGTTATTATCTTCATGAAATGTCCAGAGTATTCAAAATACTGGAATATACAGTATAGTCAGCCATGTCTCCCAAGCCTTTCTTTTTTAAATTTTGGTGGATAATTTTAAACATTTGAATATCAGTATAGGTCTAGTCCAGGCACAGATAAGCGTGCATTTCCCCATTTAAATCTAAAAACAGATGAGAAAGAAATACACAGTACATTCACAATACGAAGAGTGATGAGGGGAAGAGAGTCTGCTATGTATTTTGCACATATGTGCACACATTTAAATTGGCTTAGCTGGACACGAAACATTCAACATCAATCATCACGAGTAAGATGTGGATTTTTGTACAGCTTCACTTTTTTTTCCTGTCTGTAGCTGTGGTGAATTTGTGTATTAAAAAAAGAAACATCCAGATTGTTATTATTATGTCAAGTGATGAATTGCTCAAAACTCAAGATCTAAAAATTCCTCAAACTAAATGAGAAAAATAACAGAATATTACAAGGAAAATAATGGTATTCAGAAGACCTTTTAGTAAAAAAATAAATAAATCATAGTTATTCATTCTTTGGAAGGAACCTTTTAGCAATGAAAAAGTCGAAAATGGAATATTTTCCAAACACGATTATAGTCTACCCAACCTTTTTTTGCTTAATTAAATTTTACTAGAATTAATAACATAGGACTAAGCCTAACTGCACAACTGGAGAAGAGTGAATATTTAATTGTTAGGATCTAATATCATCCTTTTATCAGTAAAGCCAATAAAGCCTCAAGTTGTTATCTAATCTCTAACAAAGGTACATATGATTCTGAAATTGGTTCTTTTATTTCCTGATTTGTACAACTGTTCCATTTTAAATTATTTTTTCTTCTTTATGAAATATTTGTTTTAATGTTCCAAGTGCTGAGATGCTACATTAAAAGCACAGTGATTTCCCTCCTTATATCTTTTCTTAAAAATCACATTTTGTTCTTCAGCTTTTTCTCCAGTTTTCTATCTGTTAAAGCTACATGAGACAGAGTATTCAGAAAATTTCTGGCATTTTTTAAAATAATCCTGTGTATAAAATTTAAAAAAGCAATTAATTGCATTGGCCTCAGGGCAAAATGCATCTGAATATGCAATATAATAAAAAGCCTGCATGACATAATTTCATGTACCCCTTTTCAATCATCTATAATAAAGCTAGATGATTTTTATTTCATGAAGATTCCTCTTTCCCTGTTCCTTCATATTGGAAATGCAAGGCCAGTATAACTTCGTCAAGAGCCATATTACCTTCCATCTATTTTAATTTCCCTTCTACTGCTCTTGAAAATCCTCTCTATCAAATTTGAAGGCAACATGGTGATAACTGACAACATAGAAGGGGGGGGGGAATGTGTATAATTGTGATTGTTATGTTAATTTGCTATAAGACTCTGGATGTATAGGGGCCTTGTTTTTCAGAGAGCATCTTTAACTGAAAATATATCTGCTGCTCGTTATTATGGGCGGTGCGATGACTCAGCAGTTAGGACACTGGGCTTGTCAGCTGGAAAGCCAACAGCCCAAGTTCAAGATGTGAGCATCGTGCGATGGGGTGAGCTCCCATCTTCGCCTAGCTCCTGCCTACCTAGCAGTTCGAAAACATGCAAATGTGAGTAGGTAAATAGGTACCACTTTGGTGGGGAGGAAATAATGCTCTGCAACGTCATGCTGGCCATATGACCATAGAAATGTTTTTGGACAGCACTGGGTCAACAACCCTCGAAATGGAGATGAGTCTCAACCCCTGTGGTCAGTTATGACTAACGGAGTAAAGTCCGCAGGGACTCCTTTCCTTTCCATTATTATGCACTAAAAAAAAAAAAACAGCAGTGGCAATTTTTATATTTTGCAGCATAAATAATTTGTTTTGTTGAAACTTTTGACTTCATTATTAAAACTGTTTTGAAATTTGTCACAAGTGTTTGATACAAGTGGAATAATTCTGCTAACCAGCTATGTGAGTTTGGTGAGGGGGAGAAATAAAAATAATCTAGCTTTTAAAATTTTATTCATGGGTACGGCTTTGTGTACCATATCTCTGAATAAATACAAGTGCACCTCACTAGTTTTGGATCTTGCGTTTCAAACCTTTTGGTTTGACTGTTAAAGGATTAATTCATCTGATCCTTTGTTCAAAATACTTTAAATCCTGATGTTTTGTGACTTTTGTAATCTCTGAACGTTTCCCTTTGCATGAATGTTTCCTTAACTAATCAACCACAAAAAAAAATGTATTGTGTTATATTCCAAATGGTTTTGAAATGCTGGTGAAGTTTGTGTTAAACATGATTGTATACTTACATCTGCCTGCTGTAAAGGTTGGCTATTTCTAAATGGAACTGAAACTGTTATAAAATTTTGAGGTTGAATGATTATTTCTAGATGGTGAAGACAATAGATGTGCTCAATGATTTAAAGACTGAATGTTAGGAATTATTGTGTTGCAACCACTGGTTTTAAGAAAAGTATATTGATTAATTCTCAATTCCAGAACCATGTGCTTATGAAACCTCTGAAATAATTATCATGTTAAACCCTCTTCCATTCTAGTCTTTGTATCTCTAGACAATCCTAGATGAATTGTTCTGAGAGGCAGTCATATGCTTGTACATGTTTGATATAATTCAGCTTGAACGGTTGGAAATTAAGACACTCCAGAACAGAATAAATTAAATTAGGAGCTTATATATGATTCTTACTTACATCATTATGTCCAATTAAAATTATGATGTAATGCATAATTATCCCACTAAATAAATGGGCCATCTTTTGTTCACTGAACTGTGCTGTACCTGCTTTAATGAGTTTCTACATATTCATGAACTAGCTCTCTGCCGACGAAGAAAGGGAAGGAACAACCATGCAAAAATCCATGCAACATTAGAATTCACAATATTTTTGCAATATGTCACCAGCTAATATTTGCAAATCTCATTTATTCTATTTTACTAAGGCTTCAGATATGTAACGAGAAAAATATATGGCATATATATGGATTTTTCAGTTGATAGACAATCCAGATCAAGCCACAATCAAAATAACACAGTTAATCCTTAATCCTGATGTAGCCAGATTAAACATAGCCTGAATGTTGTTTGGACAAACATCTCATCTCATCTTCTCCTGAGCTCATGTAATACAGGTTCCTCTTGCAAGGAATCTCCTTTTTCTTGTGTAGGAGAAAACTCGGGGGGGGGGGGGGGGGAGAGAAGTATTGTTTTCCACAGAAAGGCAAGACTTCAGCAGAGCCGTTGAATTTTAATCTCTTCTTAATCTGGTCAATTGGAAAGAGCAATTGGCAGATTCCAGCTCTAACCCCATTTTATTGCTGTTGCTATAGCAATAGCACTCAGACTTATACCACTTCACAGCCCTTTCTGCCCTGTTTCCCCAAAAATAAGACCTCCCCGGATAATAAGCCTAATCGGGCTTTTGAGCACATGCACATAAACCCTCCCCAAAAATATTACAACGTAGCAGTAGCCATGAGGTGACCATGCTTGCCTCCTGCACCTCAAAAATAATAAGACTTCCCTGAAAATAAGGCCCAGTGCTTATTTCGGGTGTCAAAAGAAAATAAGACCCTGTCATTTTCGAGGGGAAACATGGTACACGGTTTACAGAGTCAGCATACAGCTCCAATATTCTTTATTGGTGAATTACAGAGCAATCAACGAAGATTAAAAAATATGGACATATAAAGCAAGACATTAAAATGTTAAACTGCACCCATTCAAAATCAGTGACACCGTATGTATCAAAAGGGTTGGAGTGAAAAACTGACTATATCATCAGTAATTGGTGAACTGCTGACAAGGCAGGTCACACCTCCAAGGGCAGAGAATTCTTGCTGAATCTGCAAAAACTGAGAAGGATCTTCCAAGGTAAATATTTCTGGGACCCTGCCTGCTGGTAACATTATATGAGAGGTGATGGTGATGGATACTTGCCATTCATAAGGCCATTTAGAACCTTACAAATAAAAAAGTACTTTGATGAGTACTTTAATTCAAAATATTTCAGATTACTGAGTATATGGCTTATTTTATGCCACAAGATTGTAGATTTGCATTTAAAAGGAGCAGAATGGGATGGAAACAGAAAAATAAAATAGTGATGGCTCAGCCCAGATAATATATTAGGTTAGCTATGGATCGGTGTATCATGGATTCCAGAAAACCGAATTATTTGAGTAGAACAAATTGTGTTCAATCAGGGGTGAAATTCAGCAGGTTCTGACAGGTTCTGGAGAACCGGTAGCAGAAATTTTGAGTAGTTCGGAGAACCAACAAATACCACCTCTGGCTGGCCCCAGAGTGGGAAGGGAATGGGGATTTTGCAATATCCTTCCCCAGGAGTGGGGAGGGAATGGGGATTTTGCAGTATCCTTCCCCTGCCACGCCCACCAAATCACGCCCACAGAACCAGTAGTAAAAAAAATTGAATTTCACCACTGTGTTCAATGTAATTTAAAACCAAATAAAGCCACAGCCGATGCATTCACACAATATGCTAAGCTTGTGTTAACTTTGAATAGCTTTTATGGAGTTTAACATATTGTATGAAGCCTGCTCTTTTGTTAGTTTATGATTCAGTAGCCTCATTCCATAAACAACTTAACTCACCTCTAATGAATCTTCCACTATCATAAAGACATGTAACTATACTTATTGTTTCAGTTGATGTAGATGAAATTATGTCACGCTCACGTTTCTATCTACACTGGAAGGCAGAAAACTCTCCAAGAATTGTTCAGGTATAAATATTATGAATCTCATATAATAAGTATTAGTATTATACCAACTATTTCAGGCAAGGAACAAGTTCTAAACAAGAATTTGTGAATACAGAATCCCGCTAAGTCTGATCAATAGCAATAGCAATAGCAA